CAATGTGGGTTTCTATCGCAATACCCATCTCGTTGTTTTCACCACTTCTTATTTTGAGAAATTTGTTACTGGGACCTTACCATTTTCACACCCTTATTATAAACCAGGCGAGATCATCCTCTTTGGATGCATATGATAGAATTTCACTGTCCAACGCTAGTCTCTTCCACATGAGAGGTATAACGCCGTTAATCTTAGTTACTCATGGTTTATATTTACTAGTCGTTTCCCTATGAATTTGCATGCCAAAGCACCCTTATAGAATTCAGTAAATACAAGAAGTCGGGTTGCTGTGATTCCTACGTTTACGACATTCAAATCTAAAGTTATTTCTCCCCAGATTTTTATTTTGCGCCAAATCGACAAAATATGCACTCTGCTATCAAACAATATATATTTAATCGAACGTATGAAGACCAAGATGGTGTGGCCTTTTGTGTGGTCGCAGTCTCCTTTCGTTGTAAAGAAGTTGTTTGACCTTGTTTTCGCAACTTGGTCATATTGGTAGGAGGACTTAGAGGAACGCACCTTGTCCGGAGTCAATTGTATGCATCAGCATTTCCAAAGTAGGACCTTGGACATGTTACATTCCCAAACATTTAGCCGGCATCGTCGTAGTGCCATATTACAACTCGTCAAAGAGACAAATGAAGCTCATCCTTTGAACAAACGTGTGCTAGACAGTTATGGTATCTCCCCTTCTGCCCTGGCCTATTCACATTTCCTTTATGCTCCTATCATGCCTTCCCTGTTACAATTTTTTACCGTGCTTATTTTTAATTTAGTGTGGTGTGCTTCTTCGAGCGGCATTCATAAAAACCTTTTCACACTCCACACTGTCGTTATCACCCCCTTTCACCCTTGTGTTAGGAATGTTGACCAGAGTCTGTTACATAGTCCTTCCCTGGGTCCTATCAAAGTCTCCCTCTTGCCCCATCGAATCCGTCTGCTATCTCCCTGATACATGTATTTCACTCGACCCCTCCTCCCCCTCCCCATCTGTGCTATTAGAGGCGTAATTCGTTCATCCTCTGCACCTGAGCGATTGATTAGAGGCTAAAGCCTCAGAGTAAGTCTCATGGTCATGCCTTTGCTATATGGACCACGTCTCTTGTAAAACCTACTGTCAGCCAACTAGCTCCAATCGCAGCCTCATCTATCCTGTCTCTATCCCTAATACCAAATCTATGACTTGCCATGCCCTAGCTGCTTGTGTGCCAACCCAAAAATGTTGTGGTACTGCTGGCTTTTTTTAGGTTTAATGTTGAATCACAACAAGTAGGAACAACTTATGCTTGGTTGATATATTGAAAGTAGAGAGAAGGTGTTCAACTTCCATCCAAAAGAAGGTGACCACAATAAATATAATTAACAAAACCATTATATATCGATCTATCTTTTACATTCTGTTTTGCTTAAATGAGATTATATAAGAGGGTAAGATAGAGCCGGGTAGTGTTCTTGTTGTATTGTTTCAAGAATTTTGCAAGAATGAGTCCCAGTTCTGATAATGTCCATCACATGATGGACGAAAGCTCATCCCGTTTTCACCTGAAAAGAGGGAGGTCTCGTGGACTGCATTAATTTTAACGTCGTATTAAAGCCAAACGGCTGCAGTAAAACGGGACTCAATCGTCCTCTTCTGATGATATCGACCTAATATCTCCTTCATACACTCATACGAAACAAAACTCCCAACAATAATGTTATCTCGGGAGATTAATCAAAACCCAGTTACTCTTGATATTTGATAATATTTAATTTTTCCTATTTGTACCATTTTTTTATTCTTTATATCTCTTTCTTTAAGATTAAATGGCCCAACTCAGAAACATCTAACTGTGCCAACTGCTTTGAGGTCGCCGCCCTTCCAACTAGAATAAACAATCTTTCCACCAAAACAGATGCTGAAGCTTTATCCCGATCTTCAAGTTCTCTCTTCTCTTCTTCAGTCTGTAAATCGTCCGTTGTGTGCAGTAGTGGCATTGGAGGCAGCGGCCCGCATGACCTTCTCTATGATCGGACACGCTACGCCGTAGCGCCCTTGACTACTCAATTAGCGTCTTCTGGACTGGCTAGTGTCGGCTCCTCTCACGTAGCCACTATGTCCGAGACACTAGACACCGTTTTTCCTCTAGACGCCGATCAGCAAATCAAATCACTCTGCTCAGTGTATGGGCCTGGTGCCTGTTCCAATGACAATGTCATTAGTGGTTGTAGCCACAGTCCCGTTGGATTCTTTCATTCGAACCAAGACAGCAATTTTTTTGGCTTACGGGATGGTCGGGTTAAAATTACAAGAAAAGAGTTTAATGACAATCATAGGAAAGATGATACTCAGCTTGATGCTGCCGAAGGTAAAAATTCTGACTTCGAGAGCACTCCATTTGCTGAGTTGGAGGAAGAGCAAGAAGACGCAGAAGAATATGGTGAAGAAGGTGAGGTAC